TTTGTGCTATGGTCGCTATCGCAAGAAACGGGGCATTGTGCCAGCTAGGGGTTTAAAACCGCGTGAAACATCGCAGTTTTCTTAGAAATTGGGCAAACCATGAGCTCTAGGAGGTAGAGAAGAAGGGTGTCTTAGAGGATGCCCCGTATCCTTGCAATTACCCCACCCTATTATTAAACTCTAACCTATGATATATTCACTGCAAAAAAACTGTAGGGCTCACAAGTTCGTGAGTGGTCAAGATTCCAAAATCTACTCATTCAAATACTTCACTTGTCATCCGTCATCGGTTGGCACCGTCGCCAACATGTTGTTCATATCGGGATCGCTTTGGTGGGACTGCTTCCCAAGAAATACCCGGTGCATAGGACTAAGCAATTCGCTTCCAAATACCTTCAATATTTTGAATAGGGCATGAATACACGATGTGGAATGCAATTTTTGCCCGACCATCCGTCCATACATCCAATAGGTGAGATACTACCGCCTGCACGATTCCGTTTGTAAGTGATGTGTGTGGCTTTCCTCACAGTGATGCATAGGCTGTACAAAATTTATGCTTTTTAGCTATAGCAACTGAATGAGCCAGAAAAATTTGGACCGGGTTCCAGAGCAATCAATACTTGAACATCAAGTAGGGAAGCATGATCGATCATTGCCGAATCGTGACCGTCTGTAAACGAACTTCAACATCACGTGATGATTCATGATGAATAGCTAATGCGTTCAAAACTCACCGCTGGGGTACGAGTCGATTGGAACAACTAGGTGTCTTCTCTTAGAACGTTGAAGCATGAGCCATGTATAGTTAAAGGCAAACCCCAGATTAGCTCCGACTTGTGGGAAGGATACCACGAGGGAAATTGTAAGGTCCGTACCTACCTAGATCACTCAGGCTTCGTCGCAAAATTGCGCGGTTAGGGCGCTAATCCTTACGGGCCTGCAACCATCGACTCCCTTGCAACGCTTCCCACCACCTCGATTGTGTTTTCATAGCTAGAATTCTCACAAGCATCTTAGAAAATTTCCTTCTTTTCAGGGTCGCGAAGATCTAATCAAATGCGGTCATCAAATTCTTTCGGGCGGTCAACTACATACGGTTCTGATCGACGTCACCAGCGACGAGAGCGTTATCAAAGCAAAAGCCGAGGTTGAGAGCATCCTCAATGTTCAGGTATGTACGTAACGAATGTCATGGTTAGAAATTTAGAAGTATGAATAGCTATGGCTAAAACGAATGTCATGGTTAGAAGTTTTAAGTATGAATAGCTATGGCTAAAATCTGTCCCGTATTGCAACTACTGGGTTTTTCGGAAAGTAGTGCAGGTTTCGAGATGTCATGCATACTTGAAATATTTTGATACTGAAATTTTTTCGGGACCTGAAGACTTAGAAGAAATAAGATTGATGTAGCCGATTTTCAGGACGGATCGTATTTCCTCGCGATTTAGTATTACTCGTCCCCGTCGTAATGTGTAGCACGCCCACTTATTGGCTTGCCACTCGCTACAGGTCCCTAGCCGTTAGAGAGCGCTAGCGTTGAAGGGGCAGCACTGATGAAAGTAGCATCAATGCGGCGACAAAAAGGCAAGGAAAGCCTCCCATTTTGCCACCACTGACCATCTTTACCGTTCTAAATGGGCTACGTCAATAGCTGAAATTCCGCCTTCGAGTAAAGTCATTGCGCGGAACTGTGGAACGTATTCGAGTGAAGGTTGCTCAGTAATACTCACTTTGTTTACTCTCGCATGCTGAGCACCTTCACTGAGCAGTTCCGTCTTGAATGCGCCAGGTTCCAGAATGTGAACGGACACTCCGAAAGGCAGCATTTCAAGCCGAAGACAGTCCATATACGCCTCCACGGCGAATTTCGCTGTAACATAAGGGCCAACGTACAGGCCATGAAGGCGGCCGGCTGTTGAACCCATTGTAACGACTCGGCCCTGAAAACAGTGTATGATAGTTCTTTTCCACTTTCAACGTTCACATTTTCATCGGGTGTCACTGACCTTGCTCTTCTTTATCAATGGTAGAAAACTGTGGCAAACACGCACTGCACCTAGAGTGTTCACATTCAACGATGCTAAGTATTCGTCCGTAGAGCA